TGGGGATGTGGCTCAGTGTGAATGTCCTGGTTTCCATCCCAAGTATAAGAAAAAGAAAAGCATGGCCCATGGATCAGCTGCACTGGGGAATTGTTTATAATATTTTCTTTTTCTTTCTCACTTCTTTTTGTAGTGTTGGGAATATTAAACCCAGAGCCTTCACTCTGAACTATGTTCCCAGCCCTTTCAATTTTTTTTTAAATTTTGAGAACATCTTGCTAAGTCACTAAGTTGCTCAGCTGGGCTTGAACTTGTGATCCTCCTGCCTCAGCCTCCAAGCAACGGTGGACTGATTTTCACTCGGTAGCAGGCTTTCTTTCTCCTTGCAAACTGACCCTGGAGGAACCCTGAGCTAGCTCTGTCTCCCAGGCAATACCAGAGGAAGGGCTGCTGAGGCCAAGTTTGGGGCCTATTACTGTGCTCTAGGAAAAGTCGCTGAACCTCAGAGAGCCTTGGTTCCTTGCCTGCAAGTGGCTGATGATCTCAGGGTCCTTCTTTCATTTCATCAAGGAATGTCTGTGTCCCAGAACAGCCTGGGGAAGTGGCCGTGAGGACCCAGGCCGTGCAAAAGCATCTGAAGGCCCCAGTGAATGCGGAGAGTCAGGGAGACCTCCTCCTTTCTAAGACTGAGGATTCACTCTCAGAGCAGGCGGCATCAGGGAAGGTTTGGTTTACAGCACGATCTCTGAGACGTCACAAGTTCTCATCCCAAGTCCTCATAGGAGGTTAGAGGACAGGGGTTTGGAAGGCTCCACCGAACCCCAATCACCCATCTTCTGCAAGCCATGGCTGTGGCTGGAGCTCAGTGCAAAGTCCTTGGGATCAGAGCGGATCCCATCGCCAGCCCTGGGCCGGGCACTGTGCTAGCTCCAGGCAGGGGACCTGGCGCCTGCCACACAGGCATGTGTGCCTGGTTATTCATGTGTAGACGGAAGCACAGCTGGGCATCGCTTGGGAAACGGCCGGCTGTGCTCCTGTGCAACCAAATACGTTTTGTATTTGGAGAAACAAATAAGAGCTCTAAGAGCTGGGCTAAACAGCAAGAAATGACACAAGTTCTGGGGTTGTGGTCGTGCCATGACGAGCTGCCGAAAGCAGGGCCGGTTTTATGGCTCTGGCTCAGGGGCAGGACCTGAGCGAGGTGAGAGCTCAGAATTCAGTTTTCCCCTCTTCAAGCTGATGGCCAGTTTGGGGCAATTACGGGAGGTGCTGGCAAGGGAGGAGTGCACAGAAGGGAAGCGATAGAGAGCGAGGGGTCAGACTTGGGGCCATCTGGGCACCTGTGACACTGAGAGCCCTGAGC